GGACATAACACTTTATTTGTGTTCTGCAATAAACAGAACAAGAAGTAATCTTATGATATAATATCAAAATATTATAGAGAGATGCAACAGAAGATTCGAATTCAATTTCATGAGTTTATGCTGGGTCTGCATCGAAGTGTGAAGTCTGATACTGTCATGATGAAAAACCACGTTCTTCCCAATGGTCAAAATCAAACGTTATTCCTGAATTGCAATCTTTATATTACTCAATTGTTGACAATACCTACTTATCGGAATCAATTATTTTGCTCAATAAGAAGCAGTTTAGAAAAAAAATTACTCTCTTAGAATCCTAGCAATTAACTTTTTAGAGTATAAGACAGTTTTGGGTAGGGATGCGCTACATCATAAGATTATCGGATACCGGATATTGGATACCCGGTAGGGCAATAATCAGGTCGGATATTTTTCCGGATATATATATATATATATATATATATATATATATATATATTATATCTGGTACAAATTCCCAAAAATTATACAATAGAAAAAAAGAAAAACAAGGAAAAATAGCGATAATAATTTTCTTTATCTCCTCAACGTGAAAAGGAAAAGAGAAAAGTTGAACTATGCAAGAATTTCAGCTAAAAGAATAGAATTCTGCATCAATAACATAAACTCTCAATATAAAACTTCAGTCGGATATACACTACACACAACAATTAGAGGATCACTTTAAAACCTACAAATTTTGTCGACATTAAAGAAACTGTACCTCTGCTTCCAGAGATCGTAGGACAATTTTTCTGGGTGCGTCTTAAAGGGTGAAAGTTCTTCTTTGAAACAGTTAATATTTTAAAGAACAACGACATCACAGTTTTTGATCATGCAGCGACGAGTCCGGACTTGAATCCCATCGAACACGTTTGGGACTTGATGGGTCGCCGGTTGAGAAATTATCCAAGGCAGCCAACGACACTAGCAGAACTGGAGAGAGTCCTCTAGCAAATTTGGCAGAAAATTCCGCAAAATGAAATTAATAGGTGTATCAGTATGAGGAATAGACTGCTCGAGGTTATTCGTTGAAGAGGTGGTAATATCTCATACTAAATTTAAAAGTCCATGCACGCGCGTACGCACACACACACACACACACACACACGCGCGATGTGCAAATTCCGACCGAGCAACCTCCCCGTGGTGCACATCGGGTAACGTGAATGCCGGCGGTAATTACCCAAAATGTAAGGTTTCCTTTGGAAGCTGATAACTCAGCTTCTAGGCATGCTAGAGTAATGATCGAGGTCTCGTTTTAAAGGAAACATTTCAAACTTTAAAATGCATGTAATGAGATTTTTCGGCCTGTTCGTATTTTGCCCGTGAAAAGTTGGAAAGTCGCGAAATTTTCAGAATTTTAACACGACCTGCTTTTGGTCTTCGTGAAAAAGACCATTTGATGGGACGGCAAATATTATATTAACTGTTTCAAAGAAGAACTTTCACCTTTTAAAACGCACCCAGAAAAATTGTCCTATGATCTCTGAAAGCAAAGATACAGTTTCTTTAATGTCGACAAAATTTGTAGGTTTTCAAATGATCCTCTAATTGTTGTGCGTAGTATATTATATATTGCCATATATTAATGATATCCGGCTATCTGATCGAATAGTAAAAAAATACCGGATAATACCAGATATTTTTCGAATATCCCGTGCATCCCTAGTTTTGGGCACGGATTTTTAAGCGTATTTTCTCCTTTCCAAATTAGTTTACGTTGAATATTGTTGTATAGCCATTTTTTTTATCGCTACACTATAATCGATCCAGAAATGGATCGTTAACCAATTGATTAACCAGCGAGGAATTGATAGAAAGATTCGATTACATCGATCGATTGATCGAAACATTCTGTTTAATTTATTGTATGCAAATCATACTTTACTTAGTATCTGTTAGTATCCACTAAATTGCGCATAACGTCATTAGAAGATTGAACGTGTTGCTCGTTTCATTGACAAATAAAAGTTATCAAGTCGAAATTGTGCAAGTCTCTTTACAGTGTGTACGGCCCACGATGATAAAATTTGATAATTTTTTTTACATAACAATTTTAACCGATGTTTCTTTTTTAAACTCATAAAGTATAGTATACCAAAATTGAATCTTTTCATCACAAAAATGAATCATTTTCGTTCACATTTTCTATACTTTTTCTCACGCCTTAATAACGCGCAATTAAAACATAAATCTAAATCACCAATTCCACGTTCAAATGCTGAGAATGTTACTTTTTAAACGGTATGATGATATTTATTGAAATCGGACACGACCTTTTGCGCATGCATATCCAATACAATTTAATATAAATATTGATATAAATACAAAAAAAAAGTTAAGATATATACAGGGTGTCCCATTTTAATCTATCGGTCGAAATAACTTCGAGGGGGATGGTTTATCAAAAAATGTTTAAGACAAAAGTTACTGGGGTTGAAGAGGGCCGTCCATCGGTGACCTTGACCTTGACCTTGACGTCAAATTTGAAGGTTATTTCAGGATCAAATCGCGATTTTTAAATGGAAACCCCAATTTT